CTTTTGGTACTATACTCGAGCAGCGCTGCCACGCAGCAGCGGAAAGCGGAGGTGGAGCGCGACAGCCCAAAGAGAGCGTTCCCAGGCACTGAAAAGAATAGAGGAGGCGCTGATCTAACGTGGTTTTGTTGTCAGTGTTTACGAAAAGAACCATCGCTTTGACTAGTTAAGCATTAAACTCTTGTGCACTTTTGCAGTTCTGTCAAATCGCGTCGAGCGACTGCGATTTCGTTGGCTACGCGCGTCCTTCCGATGCTCCCAGCATCACATCACATCACATCACTTTAATACCTTAAAGACCCCCATGTAGGGAGTATTACATAAGAGGTGGGTTACAGGTAAATGTACACAGGTTTTCAAACGGAAATGTGCGTGGTGACCTTCTCTTTAAATGTTGATGGACACGTGATGGCTGGAACGTCACAGGGAAGGCCATTCCAGTCCACTGCTACACGGGGGAAAAAAGAGGCAGAAAAAGTAGTAGTGCGAGCATGTGGACGGGCAATTTGAAACGCGTGGGCAGTGCGGTGAGGTATGCGCGTCGGTGGGACGATGTAGGGTGCTTGATTAAGAGGGCTGTGAAAGAACTTGTGTAGCGAACAAAGGCTGGTAATGCGGCGGCGCACTGAAAGATTCGAAAGACCAGTTTCACGTTTAAGGGATGATATTATGTTATATGAATATGAATAATGTATGAACCTAGTGGCGCGGTTTTGCACAGACTCTAATTCATTTATCAAGTATACCTGGTGCGGCCTCCATATGGGAGCTGCATATTCTAGTTTAGTTCGGATTAAAGATTTATAGGCGAGAAGTTTGATGTCAGGTGGGGCATGACGCAAATGACGCTTCAAAAAACCCAGAGTTCGGTTCGCTGATGATATGACGTTCGTGATATGCGTGCGCCATGAAAGATCACTGGATAAAGTGACGCCTAGGTATTTATAGGATTTAATTTGTTCAAGAGTAGAGTTAGCTATTACGTAAGAAAAATGCAAGGGATTATGCTGGCGTTGAAAAGAAACGAGTTTGCATTTAAAGGGGTTAAGCTCCATCAACCACAGGTCGCACCATTGCTGTACACGATGAAGGTCATTTTGAAGTGCAGTTTGATCAGAGGGGTTAGTAATTTTGCGGTATAGAACACAATCGTCGGCAAACATGCGGATATTAGAAGATACATGCATAGGTAAATCGTTAATATATATTAGAAACAGAAGGGGTCCGAGGACGGAACCTTGGGGGACTCCCGATGTTACCGAGAGGGAGCTAGAATGTTTATTTCTAATATCGACAAACTGGGAACGGTTAGCAAGAAATTCTGAAATCCATGCAAGAATTTTGGGGTGCAGATTCAACTGGGCAAGTTTTAGTAACAGGCGCTTGTGTGGTACCTTATCGAAAGCTTTACCGAAGTCTAGAACGATTACATCAGTCAGGAAGTTACGGTCAAGATTCGCGTGAAAATCATGAGTAAATATAGCTAGTTGTGTTTCACAAGATAAAGATTTACGAAATCCATGCTGGGAAGAATGAAAGAAATTGTTAGCGTCCAGAAAGTTTATTATGTGAGTGTATATGACGTGTTCCATGATTTTGCATGAGACGCTGGTTAGTGAAACGGGGCGGTAATTTAGGGGTGACTGTTACCTGATTTGTGGACCGGAATGACCTTTCCCACTTTCCAGTCTTCTGGCAGCATTCCTGTTTTAAGCGACAATGAAAACAGCATCGACAAATACACTGCAATAATTTGTTTAGTGTTTTTTAACAGTTTAGAGTTAAAGTTGTCAACGCCAGCCGATGATGAAAGTTTAAGTCTGTCGATAAGGGACGAAATTCCAGCAACAGAAAATTCCACTGGAGTCATTATCGGTAACGTCGTAGTAGGTGGCGAGGGAAGTGGCGAATCGGCTTCTTTTGTGAACACAGAGCAGAATGCGATGTTAAAAACGTCGGCACAATCACCGTCGCTAACTTCGTCACCATATTGGTCAGCAAGCGTTATTTCGCGCGGCGGTTGCGGGTTTATAACTTCCCAGAACTTTCTAGGGTTATTTGTTAGAATTTTAGGTAAGTCAATGCGATAAAACGTCTGTTTTGCACTTCGAATTGCAGCATAATATGCGTCTTCTGCAGCATAGTACTTCTCCCATGCGCACGCAGTACCATTACGTTTCGCAGTACGAAAGAGACGTTTCTTTTTATTTTCCTGCCTTATTGAAAGTTTCGAAAACCATGGTATATTTTGATTAGCAGGTAAGTTCATCTTTGGGATATATGTATTAGTTAACTCGAATATTTTGTCCCTAAAGACTAACCAGTTATTGTTAAGAGATCTGGAATCGAAACTGGATTCAAACTCAGGCAGGAAATCTCGCAGTTCATTATTGATTGCTTCATAATCACCTTTGTTGTACATATGAATTGTTTTGCTGGAAATGTGGCGTGTTTTAGGGATGAAGTTTAATGTAGTATGAATGACTTTATGATCACTGATTTCACGTAAATAGGAGATAGATTCTAAGCTTTCGGGGCTGTTTGTTAGTATAAGATCTAAAATGTTCGAAGATTCACTAGTTACACGAGTTGGTTCCGAAACCAGTTGCGTAAGGTTAAAGTTCAGACAAACATCGACAAATTCTCTTGCTTCGGCATTTCCTGTAATTAGTTGTGTTTCATTTATCCAGTCAATATTCGGGAAATGAAAGTCGCCATAGAGGAGGATTTGTGCGGATGGGTGTTTATTAGTAAGCGTAGACAGCACTTCATTCAGTTCGCGGGCGAAATTTGGATCAGAGCGAGGGGGCCTGTAGCATACGCCAAGTAATACTGTTTCGGGTGGGGTACGGCACAATACCCATAATATTTCAAGTTGTGAAGGAATGTTGATAAGGGAGCAAGATAGCTCTTTGCTAGTGGCGATGAGTACTCCCCCACCACGTGCGTTCTTACGGTCATGACGAAAAAGATTAAAGTGCGGCAAGTCAGCCAGAGCCTCTGTATCCGAAATGTCGTCAGTAAGCCACGTTTCGGTCAATAAAAGTATACTACTGCCAGATGATTTTAACAGATTAGACAGGGGCACGCGCTTAGGAAGAAAACTGCGGATGTTAGTATAAATTACCGAAAACGAAAGCTTAGCTTTAGTGCTTGTACGTGGCTGTTGGCGCGCTTGCCGTCTGCGTACTGATCCCTATGTTTTTTCTTTCACAATTCCTGCTTCGTGGTCGTAAATGTATCGCTTAGAGCCGATGTGCAAAGTTTGGAAGCGCAGTGAAAATGGCACAGATTTGCTCCTAGCGAAAGCAACGAGCTCTTTTCGGACTATTCTAACAGGGTGTGTGAAATCTTCGCCAATGCTAAAGTTAGTACCTTTTAGTTTTGGGCCACTTGAAAGGATAGATTCTTTAGTTTTGAAAGACGAAAATTTCACTATTATAGACCGTTTGTTGTTATTGGTGTGCCGCCCTAGGCGGTGTGCACGCTCTATGTCTTTCGGTTCGATTGTGAGTTGAAGTCGTTCAAGGCAGTGCTGGGTGTATGTTTCCTTAGGATTAGTGTCAGGGAGATTTTAGAATATTAGATTGTCATGCCGTTCCCGGCGTGACAATCTAATATGACCGAGAGCATGTTGCGCTCGGCCATTGTTCGATGGTCCGCTATTGCATTTCGTATCGCCTGGCGCATGGCAAAAGTTTGAAACATCAAAATTTTGGTTTACTGAACACAGTGCGATTCAGCTGAGGAATTTCGCAGATTTGTATCACCGACATTCTACTGTATGTTTAAGTCAATGCCTTCCAATTCGTTTAAATTAAATGCACCAGTCCAATAGTATCGTAAAAAAGGTCTGGATCAGGTTTGGTTGAATTTTTGTTAATGGTGCCAGATCACGCACAGATATTTCTGGCCAACCACGCAAATGTAAGATATAGCCAAAATCTGGGAGAGTTGTGAGGTATGCAAGCGAACTAGCTGAAAAGGTCACTTTTCCACATGCGGCAGACATTTGGTATTAAGTTTTTGAAGAATAAATCTTCCCTGACTTCAGGCACCTGCTTTACAGAGAGTAGCTGGCATAAATTTCAGACAAATATTACCATTCAACACTATCAGACGGTGAAGCCAACACCTCCATTCGATAATTGACTAGCAAGGGTTCTTTTGATGACCGAGCTTTCATTTTGCTGTAGCATAACCATCAGCGGCTTGCACTTCTGTCATGTTTGTCAGCCAAGCACATTTTTCCAACAACACACATAGATTAGTTCACACAAAGCCAAGTGAGAAAATAGCCTTGTTACGAAAACAAGAAACTTCAAACTGATTATGAAAGTTCAGTGGCTGGACTAACTACTAGGAAGTGCTGGGCGTACGACAAACAAACTGAACATGCTAAAATCGATGATCAAAAGCAGTGACCACTGGTGATCGGTTTGAATAGGCATGTTAACGAAAGAGTTAAGAGACCTGACAACATTCTTCAACTTTGGTCAGAAAACACTGCCTCTCGGTAGCTGAGGCTGCTGAAAACACGAGAACCAAACGTTACAGCAAGGCGCGCGGTATGGAATGTACAATTCAATCTCGAAGTCAGCTAGAAATTGCTCCCTTTTATCTCTACAAGTGATGCCATATAGCCACATCCATGGTGATTGGCAGAGTTACTGGAGCCTCCATGGAGTGCCACTACATAGCCGAGCATGCACTGCCGATCACACTGAAAGTAGGCAGCGCGTTTGAAGGAAAACTAGATCATGCTTGGTGCTCAAGAAAGGACGCATCTTCTCACGCCCTTGTCACCCTACGTAGCTTTCAGCGCACTCACTTGCACAAGAGGAGAAGGCACTTGAACTCTGCTTCTACTAGACAGATTCTGAAAAATTGGCATGTTATTTGCAAAGCATCCCATGCAAACGAGCCCATTGAACACTGTGCATATTCCATTCTTGATTGTAACAGGACCTGTGCCAGTACCAGCACAGAATGGCACTGACTTGTCGTGTTTCTGACAGCAAGTCCAGATGAATAGACACGCTGGCCATTGACGAGTCTACACGAGAGTGGTCAGCATCTGAGCAATGTAAAATGGAATGCTCAGCTGGTGGGCTCACGTGACCACAAAGGCTTTCCACACCTGCAAGGTGATTGAGCAGCATAACTTAAGCAGCGGTAACGTGGCTACAGGCGCAAGTGCATAAGAAACACACTTTCCACAATCAACTTGTGTCACCCGTAAACTAGTCACTCATAGTAAGAGCGCAACTAATAAACTCCAGTTGTCCCCAAGATTCATTTCTTTTAGTCCCCATATCACACACTTTTCAAACAAATTCAAATTTCGAACTCGCCTAAGATTCAGTACTTTTGAACATTTCATTTATATGTTCAAATTTTCATGTATGGATTATTTCTCGTTGGATGGTCTTCATTCTTACAAATCCAATTTTATCTTTGTTGTTTTCACAAGAACAACTGTAGCTCGCATCTAGGGATGGGTGAACATTAAATTTAAAGCTGAAATCAAAAAGTGATTTTGTAGAATAATCACACACAGAATTGTTTAACATTATATTTTACATATTCAAAGAAAGATCATCATTTTTGTCATGACCCAACTATCTTGCACAATAGGACTTAGAACTAGACGTGTGCAAATGACACTTTACTGGTTTGAAGTCGAAGCACATTCGAATAGTCTTTAGAGTCAGATACAGACTGCGCAGCACTTCAGTGTTCGGCTTTTCACTCTTCCAGAAGCCTGGCACTGTGAGTCATCCTCTGAGCGACGCCTTCGAGCCAGGACCGAGGTGGTTCATGTTCCACGTTCAATGACCCAGAGCCCATGGCCTCACCGAAGTGTAAAATGATGCAAGCTTGCATTGTGATTTCGAGGTGCGTGCTTGCGCAACAGTACACTAACGCTGCAAGCAGTACAATCACCCGGCAACACGGCCCTAGGTCTCCCATAGGTCAAAAGTGACGCCATCTGTTTGGGACTGCCCATTAGACAAACCTGACATCACTCGCCCCCGTTGTGATTCGCTAGAAAGGACGTGATTTAAGGCTATATAAGTGAAGCAGCCATCAAAAGAGAGGTCGTCTTCACCTGGCCGAGGCCCGCAGTGCACGAGTTGCTACCGACCATAGTGATAAGTCTAAGCCAATTCATCTAATTATTTTACTCCAATTCTCTAACGTAAATAAATGAAAGTATTTCTTCTTCTGTCCACATCATTGTCAGCCAATACCTGCATATCAGCGGTGAGATGCGATACTGAGTTAGAATAATAATAGGGTACAAGTTATAAGTGAAAATATGGTAAACTTTAAAATTTGCTATACTTAGCACATATGCTTAATGCGTAACCCGCTTTTAAGGTTACATTTAACCTTCAAACGGGGCTTAGTGACAGTGTGCACTTCCCCTAAATAGATTACTTCATGGCAAGCAGCCCTACGCTGCAGTGAAATCACTTTTTCTGGTACCGATTTATTTTGAATACTTCAAAAACTTGAAAAATTCGAATTCGTGTTGAAACAAATTTGAATACTGCAATACTCACTTGAATATTTGAAGCACTTGAATATTCGACCATACCTACTCACATGTCTTTGATAGCCATCCTTAACTATGCATTTTTAACGCACGCCCAACTTGAACTATTCCAATTATCCAAGAACAGCACCAATTCGAAGTCTCCAATTTGTAGAATACACATTGAATGAATTAGCGCCAACTAGACACCAACAAATCATGACCAGTTGTCGCGCTCCAGTGTACACAAGAGCACAACACCAGTTTTCTTTCTAGAATATATTCAACGAAACTTCACAGATCAAATAGAGCCCAGCAGATACAGTTGAAACAGATGAAACAGCTTACAAGTTAATGTCAGACGTGTGACGTAAAGGGACTAACATGATGCGACTGTTGGGACGCTTTGTTCAGGTCAACAAAAAGAGACTCACAGGCAGGCGATGTTGACTTTGCCGTCTGCACTTCCAGGGGCATATTGTCATCTGAACCAAACCTCTCCCCCTCTTCCATTAGCACGGAAACAGCTTCCTTGTGCAATGCTGTGTTAGTACTCCAGTCAACCTTGGCGTAGTCCTGCGCGATTGTACGGCAGAGGGCGTGTAACTTGAGCTCGTGAGCTGAGAGCATGTCAACTGCCGACATGGGCTGATTGATAGATCTGCAATACAAGATGAGTGAGCACTTATTTACAGAACACGATACAGACATACTGGATCCAATCAAACTGACAACCAGGCAAGATTGTACAAGCTTGAAGCACCAAGCAATGTTCAAACTCGAGAACAGCAAAATGACTAAAGTATTTTCTGCTATTATACACCACAAATGCTTGCTCTGGATGGCGGAAGAAGCAAAACACCAAACATAAGAGAAACAAATGGCATTTAAAAAAAAAAATACGGATAGTGCATTCTCCCTAAACTTTTGGTAGTCTTGCTGTTCTTGCTTAAGAAATGAAGATGGTCAGTGAACTTTTCCTAAATTTCACAATGAAACTAACACCTCACTGTGAGCTTCACACAGCTACACCTTGTGGCCAACTACAAGGAGCTTGCAAAGTTTGGTGTACGGATGTTTGAGAATATGTTGTATTTCAACTTCTCTGATAAGCAAGCTGCAAGCTGATCCTCATAAATCAATGACATTCCAGAATAAAAGACGAAAATCACTAAGGACATCATTTCCGAAACAAAACAGAACAGGATGGGCATGTTGATTGATATGTGGGGTTTAACGTCCCAAAACCACCATATGATTATGGGAGACGCCGTTGTCGAGGGCTCCGGAAATTTCGACCACCTAGGGTTTATTAACATGCACCCAAATCTGAGCACACGAGCCTACAACATTTCTGCCTCCATCAGAAATGCAGCCGCCGCAGCCGCGATTCGATCCTGCGACCTTCCGGTCAGAAGCCCAGTACCTTAGCCACCATACCACCACGGCAGGGCAAAATGGGCATGTTGGTGCTATATGTTTATGGTGACAGTAAAGTTCAAGAAGGAATGGGTAATTTCCAAGTCCTGCCTCCTTCAAAAGTCACCGTTCTTTCTAATGCTTTACCGTTTGAAGTTGTTCTCATTTCGCTCAAGTTTGACTTCGGGCCTTGTGCAGTGATGCTATCGAGGTCTTCTGATTTGGAGCAATTTTTGGAGCAGCAAAATTTTCCATTTTGGAGCACTTTGGAGTAGCGAAATTTCCCATTTTGGAGCACTTTGGAGCACGTATTTTTGCATCTGAAAGCATTCTGGAGCAGAGGCGTAGCTGTGTGAAACTTCACATCCTGAAGTGCACTAGAGAGGAAAGTTGCATTTACGTTCAAGCACATGAGTAATTATCGTGGCACTCTTGTTAAGAGCCAGAAATATTTTGATTCATTGCGAATTTCATGCAGCCAATCATCTCAGGAGCCCTTCACTCGATGATGCAAAGATAATGGCGTCATGAATTTAGCATTCTGGAACAACTTGTTCGGTGATTATTTTTGTAGCAAATTAACAGATTACAAGTTCAGTAAAGTTGTACATTGTATAACATTCTAAATACACCTATGTGGTTATGAGCAGTCATAGTAGACGAATGCTGTAACGTACAACAATGCCTCACTGCTAAATACTCGCAGTTTCCCAAATGAATTTCCCTAAGGTGACTCCAAGAAGGAAGTCAGGTTCTTTTCTTTCACGGTCGTTTATATGAGTGGGAGCAACATGACATCACTTGGCTGGCCTCATAAAGCCAAGTTCTTTTAACCCTCCGTTTGCTGTTTGAGGCCTCTCTGTTTTGGAGTAAGAGCATCCTTAAGACTATCGTTTCCGCATGCGCCGGGCTGCTTGTATATAGAGATGTGCATCAATCAAGTTTCTGCAAAAGTGTCAAAGTGTGCATTTAAAAGCAGACTAGATGATTTAACAATTTTTTTTTTTTTTGCAACGAAGCTATATATGGCTAGGGCATTCTGGCTGTACACCAAAAACCTCCTTGTGACCTCTAAAAAGCAATGAAAAAAATCCTCACAAACAAGCTTATGCATTCGCCTAAAGAGATTCAAAGACGAAAGCTATTTTGTTTTTACTGCGATAGCAATTATATGCACATTAGCTACTGATTTTTGCCATTGCCTCCACATTTTCTGCACTGTCCAAATTGATAACATCCCACTGCGCATCATACTGTTTACATGCGGGTAAAAGCACACGAGCGTGGGCGACGAACACGGCTGAAGCAGAGATAAAAAGAGCCAACCTACTACAGTTGCACGGAAAGTGCATTCGATAACATTACCTGGCGTGCCAGGCCTGCTATCGATTGCTACTCAAGCATAGAGGAACGCCCCGTCAATATTCGAGGAGCATGAAGGAACGTAGGGAGGTGTCCCTAGCGCAGCAATGATGAATTTTGATAACGTGGTCGCTGGCATACACGCTACTTTGGCAGGCCTCAGAGACAGCTCGTATTGGGTGCGAGGACATACCATGGTGCCACCATACGGAGGCATCGCTGTGACATGCCTGGTTGATTGCTCCGCCGCCTTTTTGCGCGCAGCCAGCAGCCACTTTCGGGTCTATTTTTTATCATTGTTCTTGTAATATTTCACTTATTGAAATCAATAAAATACTGCTGCAGCCTCTCCCCTGACTGTACGAAGTTCTAAAGAACTGCTCCGGAAAAGCTTTAGCTTCTCATAATGCCCGACTACTGGCGTCGTCTGCTATGGCCACCTATATGAAAACCACAGGGGCCGAGTGCACTGCTTTCGTAAAAGGTAACGACTCATTCGGTGTCGAAGCATCAAATGGGCATTAATGCGCGCTAGCAGCAAAAAAACTTAATTTTGCTGCACGAGTTTTATCCAACAATGCCGCTTCATTCATTATAGGTTTGCATCTAAAGATGGCCCGTGGCTGCTATGACAAGCATGCGCAAATTAGCATTTTTTTTTTTTTTGTTGAGCACACAGCCTTACGAAGCTCAGCGGAAGTGGATTCCCTGCTTAGTGGGAAGCAACACAGCATTCTTATAGCCGCATGCAGCCGCAACCTTTTTGTTATGATTGCAAGGAGACGCGAGAGTCACACGCACACACGTGCCTCATTCAGAGTTGTAACCAGATCATACTTCAGACGAGGAAAAGTTTCTTTGCGGCACGATTCTAATATTTATTGAGCAAATTTTCCATGGTTGCCACACGGTGCACATTTGATCGCCATCGAGCCACACATGGTGAAAATGTGATTGACTCAGTTCCACGGCTTCTACAAAGGGGTAAATCTTGATAAAAAAAAGTGCGACCCTTACAGGGCTTGATTACAATAACGAATGCGCTGCGTGTCAGCCAGCCATATAATTTTCCTAAATGTCTTACCAACTAGCCCTCTATTAAACGCTTTTTTATATTACTTTGCACCTTTGAATGAGCATGCTGTGAGGTTTTGCATGCCGTGATATAAACAGCAACTTCATGTTTCAGTAAAGATTTCAGTGTCCAGTTTTTTTTTTATAGCTTTAATAAGTGTTGCGAACAGCAAGCTGTTACTCTACGCCCCCGCCCCTCTCCCCTTTGTTTTCTGTTCAAGTTAAAAACGATAGCCATTGCCATCCCTTTTTTCCTCTCCCCTTCAACTAGGTGAAGCTACAAAAGAAGCTTGCATGAAGCAATAAACGTGTTTTTTTTTCCCCTACTCTCCAATCGTCTGTTTGCTTGCCGAGGCTGAGCCGCCAGCAATGCAACAGTGGCGACGAGTTTGGTTTTTTGCTATCCACGGTACAGATGACGCAAGTCCTGCGATCATGCGAACAAGGAACAACCACGATGGACTCCCTGCAGTTGCCAGACTACGACGAAACAAAAAATAAATGGAAAGCTTACCTCGTCAGAGCAGAAGCTTACTTTGAGGCAAACAGCGTTAGAAACCTGGCTAGTTTCAGCATTGTCTAGTTTCTACTAGGCAACACCAAAACTGACAGCTAGTTTCAGCGTCGTCTAGCGAAACCGCCGAGGTGCTAGCCGGCATGGTAGCCCTGCGTGCGCCAAATTAACTTACTGATGAGGAAGTCATTCAGATTTTGAATAAATACTACATTTCTAAAAAGCATGAGATAATGGAAAGCTACAAGTTCTTTAATCGCTCACAACTTCCAGGCGAAAGCGTAAGCGCATTTCTCGTTGCTATTCACCGAATAGCAGGCAACTGCAATTTTGGCACTTCTCTTGACCACATGCTTCGGGATCGCATTGTCTGCAGCATACACTCCAGGGCACCGAGGAAACAGGTGTTGCAAAAAAAGGATTTAACGCTAGAAGATGCCGAAGCATTGGCACTGTCTGTCGAAGCAACTGAAAATGGTGCATAAAGCATGACCTCAGAAGCTACGCCCTTGCTTAAACTACGCGCATTCGAGGCCAACACTCTTAAAGCTCCTTCTAGTCATGACGCGGTGTAGCATTGTGATAGACGCGAAAGCGGAAAACACAACGGCAACAGCTGCAAAGATGTGCCGCAGCACCGTCGGTAAAGACTGTGTCGCAACACATGCCATGAAAGGAAGAGTTTTGACTCTCGAAGAAGCCGTAGCTGAAGGAGACGATAATGGAGACATGTTGACGCGTGTGTACTGGTGGACCAAAACGACGATAAGGGGATTCGGCGGACACCAGGTAGTGGAGCTCTGGCTGATAAAAGAAAAAGAAGGTGATCTTGCTGTTCGGCTGCTGAGAGTCGCTGTGTCAACGTTTATCTGCCCTTGGTTCACGCTCCAAAACGCCAAAACTTGATTCAACACCAGTTCTCGACGTTAGCACTACTTTGCCTAAGAACAAGCGAAAGAGACTTTTTGAGCTACTGGTCGAATTCAAAGGCTGCTTTTCGACAACATCAAGAGTTGGCTGCGCGCCTCTAACCAAGCATCGGATAATTACCGAGGACATGGCGAGACCAATTCACCAAAACCCCTATCGCGTGGCTCCAAAGGAACGCGAAGTGATACAAGAGAAAGTCGACAAACTGCTAGAAGATGACGTCATTCAGCCCTCAAAAAGTAGTCTTCGTTAAAGAAAAAGACGGCAGCCTGCGCTTCAGTGTAGATTACCGAAAACTCAATCAGGTGACAAAGAGAGATGTGTATCCACTTCCTCGTATAGATGACTCTCTCGACAGACTT